AGTTTAATCCTTCATTTCAGTAAAATCCCCAGGTCAGATCAGGTCATGTCCCAAGACCCTTTCCAGTTCTATGACTGAGGTAGGGTTCCTTCTTTAGAGATTTTTCAGCTGTCAGGGAAATAAGAACCGTCTTTAGGAGTGACCCCCTTGACATCTGCTCTATGGGCAAAAACCAGTTGGGAGAGTTCTCCTGTCTGGACACACTTCCTTCTGCAGCATCTGTGGTTTCACTCTGGTCATGGTTAATGACAGTGAGTAACCCAACATGAAAAGATGGCTGACAGTCTTTACCAAAGGATGCCACTAAATAGCTAGGAAAGGATTAAAAAACAATCTCAACCACCCAGAAAGCCTGCAAATAAAATACACATACACAACACAGTGATAATAATCAAAGAGCTGGAAACAGTTCTATGGTTTCAGGGCCCAATAAAGAAAATAAAAAAACAACATCAGGCCCTCTGCCCTCTCCCAGCAGCCTATCTACCCAAGGTGGAGACGAAAGGGTTGGCAATGGCTGACAGAGAAGGGTTAAGAGAGTTTGCCTAGGGGGTAGAGCCTGCTTTTTTAATGCTCACGCTACAGAGGATTCTGCGGGTCCACATTCCTATCAAAAGTCTCATCCCCACCGTGCTATCCATTTTTGGAGATGACAATGATCCACTTTGGGAGCTTTGAAGAAAACCTGTGTCCTGACAGAATCAACTCAGAAAGGTTTTGAAATGCACCATTCATCAGAAACCTCTGCTGACTTGTTTATAGCTGGGTAACGCTGACTCATCCTATGAAATGCTTTCCCCGGCCTGATGAGACTTTGCTCTCAAATTCAATGTAAGGCTTACAGCACCTGGTGTTAGGAGGACGTAAATTAAGTTCAAGAGTCCATGACTGAAGTTATGTTGCCCACAGACTGAAAACTTTGGCAAAAGGAGCAGACTCATCTCTCTAGATTTAGATGACTAGGAGTCATCTCAGTTCTACTCTCCTCCAAACCCTGTTCTTTTTAACTTATTTTATTCACATGACCCCAGAAATTCCGCAAAGGAAAGAAAATAAGGAAATGTTTTCTTCTTTCTATCCCTTCATCCACCGCATTTACTCTGTACTTGTTGATTTTTGAAGTTTTTCTTTACAATGAGAATATTTTTCTTTGACCCCTGAAGCCATAAACAAAAGGAAATTAATAATTTATGGAGTGTCGATTATTTGCTGCCAGATTCTTAGGTAAGGTGTGTTACACATATGGTCTCATTTGGTAAACACCATAGAACTTTCCAGAGTTACCTATAAGCACTAAATGGTTAAAAGAAAGAAATATGAATATCAGTGAAAATTTTGTGTCACCACAGAGATTTGTGCAACTTTTAAACCCAGTCAGTAAAAACTGTTAACTCAGTGTGTCTGAAACCAGTCGGTACCTATGGAACAATACTAAACCCATACAGTCATACTCTTCTTAAAACCTACCTCTTCTAATTTTCATCAGAATCATCTGCAAATGGCAGACCCTGCTCCTTCTTCTTCAATGACTTAAGCAACTATCTCAGTTTAACTTGTTCACCTTCCAAATCCCTGCCCTCCCAGTTCTTGAATCTCCCCCATTCTAGGACTTCACTGTGCTCCATAGGTTTTCAATGGCTGATTTTTTCAGAAGTAGATCACCAGGCCTTTCTTCTGAAGTGCCTCTGGGTGCTAACCCACGCTAACATGATTGGCTGCTAACTGAAAGGTTGGAGGTTCGAGTCCACCCAGAGGCACCTCAGAAGAAAAGCCTGGCAATCTACCAACAAAATCAGCCACTGAAAACCCTATGGAGCACAGTTCTACTCTGTCACTCATGGGGTCACTATGAGTCAGAATCAACTCCATGGCAACTGGTGAGACCTCAGGCTAGAAACTCCACCTAGCTTTCCTATTACTTCATCCCAGCTCTCTTTCTCCATTCACTGCACAACTTCTTGAAAGGGCGGTCTTCAACCTTACCTCTATTTTCTCATCTCCAATTTATTCTTTAACCCACTGCCCCTTTTATGCTCTTATATATGTCTCGAGTGATCTTTTAATGGCCAAACCCAATGGCTTCCTCTCACACCTAAACTACCTGACACCTCTGATTCTCATAATGCTATCTAACACTCCATCCTTCTTATAAAACCATATCTTTGTTTAATCGCCAGGGCCTCATACTTGCCTGGTTCTTCTAACTTCTCAGGCTCCTGATTCTCAGCCCTCTTCAAAGATTTCTTCTCCTTCCACTTCTTCAGTGTAGGCCTACCCCATATTTCTTCCCTGTTTCTGATAATATTCTCCCTTGGAGATCTCTTCTACTCTTATTACTATCTATGTGTGTATGACTCTCAAATCGACATGTATCCCTGACTTCCCTCCTGACCTCTGCATTGCCAATAGCTTGTGGACAGGAATAGCGTTACCAGTATCTTAAACTTAGCATCTCCAAAACAAGACTTGTACCTATTAAATACGCTTCTCTTCCTGTGTTCTCAATTTCAGTTGATGGGAATCCACCAAAGCGCAAAACACTGCAGTTGTCTTTAACTTCTCCCTCTTCCTCATCCCCCATTCCCATCTGCTGAGTTGCCAATTCTACTTCCATGTTGTCTCCCAATCCATCCCTTCCTTTCGATTCCCACTGCCACTGCCTTAGTTAAAGCCCTCACTTCCTCTCAGTGAATTGCAAAATCCTATTGGTCTGTTCCATCCTGCCATCCAAGTGATCCTCAACCACAGCACTGTATGTTTCACCCTCCCCCCAAATTAAAAACAAATTATTTTTTCAATAGTTCTCTATTGCCTACAAAATAAAGTTAAAACTTTTCAGTCAGGCTTTTAATGCCTTCCAGGACCTGGTCCTACCCATCATTTCTAGTTGCCCTCTATTCTCTAAGTGAGGAAGTGGGGATGGAGAGACTTTATCTCACTTATTTGGACATGTTATCAGGAGGGACCGGTCCCTGCAGAAGGACATCATGCTTGGTAAAGTAGAGGGTCAGTGAAAAAGAGAAAGACCCTCAATGAGATGAATTGACACAGTGGCTGCAACAATGGGCTCAAAGATACCAGCAATTGTGAGGATGGCGCAGGATCAGGCAGTGTTTCATTCTGTTGTACATACGGTCTCTTTGAGTTGGAATCGAGTCAACAGCACCTAACAACAACGTTCTCCAAATGGAATCTTTTGTTGCTGCAAATGCTTAACACGCTTAGCTGCTAACAGAAACGTTTGAAGTTTGAGTCCACCCAAAGGCATTCCAAAAGAAAGGCCTAACAATCTACTTATGAAAAATCAGCCATTGAAAACCCTACTCTGACACACATGGGGTTGTCATGAGTTGATTCCAACTTGATAGCAACTGGTTTTGGAGTCAGAAAGACTCAAAATTGAATCTCAACTCAACTGATCTTAGCAATACTAACCTGGGAAAGGTATGTAATGTCTATGAACCTCACTTTTTAACCATAAAATATGTAACCAAAAAATGTGTTAATACCCTCACAGATTTATGAGAATCAAATAGGACAAAATGTTTTCTTAGAAAGCACACAACAACATTCTTGGCATGTAAAAGATGTTTACTATTAGATTCTCTCAGTTGTCACATCTGTAAAAGGGGCTAATAAATCTACCCCATGAGGCCAGTGTGAGGATTAAGCGAAATAATTTCTGGAAAGCATTCACCAATGTTAGTTCCCTCTCCTTGTCCATTTCCTTCTTTCCCCAGATATCAAAGTTGCCTTCATGGAAAGGGCAGCTCACACTAGAAAACAATTTTAGAGGAAATTTATCTTCATGTGTCAACAAGCAGTTGACTTATCTACTAAATTCATAATTGTTTCTCAGAAAAGTAATAATCAGAATCAAGTATTTTTTGAAAGACTGGAAACATAGCCTAAGTCCAATATAATTTCAATATACCTGGAAGCCCTCAAGGTGAAAAAAAAAAGTGTGAGAATGTACCAGCCTCAATTCTTACCCTACATCCTTCTTACCCGGTTCAATCATCAAAACGCACTTTTAAGTAGTTCTAATTTTTTTATGTCATGGTGTCACTTTAATTTAACCAAAGGTGGTCAGATGGAATGAGAATTACAAAGGAGAATGCCAAAAGGAAATTTTTTTTAAAAGCGGGAAAAAGTCACCAAAGAGAAAAATAAGTTTTCATACAAATCTAGGTTCTCTTCCAAAGAGAACATTAACACTAAGATATTTTATTATCTGCTAAATGGTATAAAGTTTCCAAGTGGTCACTTTTTGATAAAACAGTATGTATCAAATATACAGAGTCTTGTCTTTAGTACCACCATTCACATATTCAGCCAACGCCATGCACTGAAGTCTGGCACCAGGAGCTGGCAAATTGGTTCTCAAGGGCCACACCAAAGGATGGTGTCAATTAAATTCCTAATACAACTCCCAAAGAAAGGAATGCAGGGAAATATTCCTCTCATCTTAAGGGCTGTCATTTTGTAAGTTCTTCTTTGATTAAGGTTGGATGTATTTCCATATATATGTGTATAATTTAGCCACAACCACCGACTGTGAGAAATTCCAGTGGTGACTGCACTGAGTTTTCAGGATAATTATTTTTAGAATGAGGTTCTCCAAATCTATGAACACTCTGGCCCTTTCCCTTCCTTCCTCCACACACCCAAACTTTCACATTAAAGTGAACAAAAATTTGACCGGAACACACTGCATTTTAGAAGTACTGGACGAGAGTTTCCTTAATAAGCACCTTGAAGTTGCAGCCATGTAACCCATAAGAGGGGGAAAAAACCAAAATGTCAAAAGTACCTTTTTTCCCGGTGGCACTCATTTCTTTTTCCTAAAACGTAGGCCTGGAGAAGAAACTAGATTAAAAATGCAAACCACCTTCGTGGAGACCCTTAAACCCCAGCTGCAAACGCGTGCTGCGCGGACGCTCCTAGCTGGCCGTCCCATCCGGCTCGCTGCAGGGAGAGGGCGCCGAGGACGCCTTGGACTAGCCGTCGCTGTTGCAATCGGCCCTGCGCTCGGGACTGGCGCCGGCCGAGCCCTCCTGCCCCCGCGCGTGATGCTCCAGCAGCTCCTGGAGGTATTTGATGTAGCCAACGGCGGCTCGAAGCGTCTCCACCTTGCTCAAGCGCTTGTCCGCCAGCTCCCTGGGCAGGTGGTCTCGGAGGCGCGCGTACCCCTCGTTCACGCAGCGCACCCTCTGCCGCTCGCGCTCGTTGCGCTTGCAGAGGAAGGCGGGCTCGCAGGCGCCGTCCAGCGGCAGGGACAGATACTGCCGTCTCCGTGGGCAGCCCCCTTGCGCCCGGTCCCAGCAAGCGGCGTCCACGCAGAAGGGCACCCTGAAGGGGTCACTTAGGGGAAGTCGCGGCAGGGTCCCTGGTATGCCCATGGGCACAGTGCGGAGGTGGTAGGGCAAGGTGTTCAGCAGTCTAGCCGGTCTACGTTTCTCCATTATTCGCCGAAAAACAAACAAGTTACCGGAGCAACGAATCTCTCAGAAGATGGGCCTCAATAGCTTAAAAGCAGAGATAGATGCTGGTCGGTCCAGACTGTGTGCCACACCAGGTGTGTCTTCGGAGAAGATTCTAGATCTGGAAGCTAGGTTGCAGGACAGGCTTCAAGGAAACTTTGCGTGATTTCCCAAGTTCATTGTACTCCTCGATCTTTTTATAAAGATTCAGGCTGAAGTGGTAGGCAAAGAGTTAGGACTCCCTAATCCACACTTCAAACCCTGTCTTCCCCTCTGATCTTCTTATTTCAAAAGATAACAAAGGGGTTCCTCTGCTGGGTCCCCTAGCCTGGAAATGTGAGTCCACACCAAACACCAAATAATCTCCCAGAGCCACCAAAGCTTTTCAATTACTGTAATCCACCACTCTGGGTCTTCAAGAGATGAGTTTATTTGCAAAGCGGGTAGGAATGTTCAAGGTTTGAGAAGGGTTCCTCCCAGGAACCTAACGATCTCTCCTGGTAGTTGAGCAAACGTTGACCCGAGGCTTTCTCTTGAAAATCAAAACTTGACTGGAGCCTTTGTGGTTTCTGGCGTCCAGGTCTAAAGGAAAGAACTTTTCGACTGTTTGCAAAATTACGCTTGCCACCTGATGTTGCATTTCTGGTGAGATGGAGGGACTACCTCATCAAAGACAAGACTGCTCCCTTGTGGCTGTAATGTGTGTCAGGTCAAGGAGAACCCGAAGAAAGACGAGATTTTCTTCATTACCAAATCCTTTAAAAACCCAATTAATCACTTTTTAAGACAACGGAAAAAGTTTCAGCAACGCGTATGAGAATCCTCATCTTACTCACCAACTTACGATTAATGTGGGACACTCTAGGAATACGTACTGCTTTTTAAGAGCACATCGAAAGACTGAAAAGGAAAAACACTTTTAGCCAGAGTGATTTCTCACAGTGCTTACTGTACACACAGCTTAAACCCTGCTTCCTGACCTCTACTAATCCCACCCAGGATATAATGACACCATCTCTCCATAGTGCAAAGAGTATATGGCAATTGTATTCTTCTCTTTGCCTTAAAAAAATGCATTGCACATTTATCTTCTCCCTTGGGGGCAGGAAAACAACATTTGAAAAGTGGAGAGCCCCGATTCTAAGGAGAAGGGATGATGGCTTTGAAGATTTGTCTTTTACCACACAACCAAAAATGAGCAATTAATCCATCAGTGTTGGTAAAGGGCTTTGAAGATGAAAGCGTTATTAAAGATCCGACTGCACTGGTTAATGCCAGAGAGTGTGTTATCGCCCTGAAAATCAGATTTCCTGTTCTGCAAACTGCGCATTAAGGGCATCTTCTGCTTTCAAAGTCCGACTTGAAAACGAGAAGCAAAAACCCCCTATATTTATTACCAGAACTTCTGCTTTTTCCTCTTGAGGCAAGGTGTCGCCCTAACATGCTCTTTTGACAAGTCCTGCACTTCCCTGTTTATGCTAAATAATCTGCCTGGAGCAACTGGAAAAACACATCAAGGCAAATAAAATGGAAATAATTATTCCTTTCAGGTATAAGTTAGTCACCTTTTAAAAGGTGTAGCTCCCTTTGAGGCTTGTACTGGCAGACATCCTAATATGTCATCTTGATTGCTCGGAAATGTTGAGAACAATTAGGAGAAAGCCCTTCCTATTGGGAAAAAAGGAATCTTTCGGTGGCAAAAACAGTTAACACATTCTGCTGCTGACTGAAAGGTTGGAGGTTCAAGTCTACCCAAAGATGCCTCAGAAGAAAGGCCCAGTGATCTACTCCTACAAATCAGCCACTGAAAACCTTATGGAGCACAGTTCTATTCTGACACATACGGGGTCACCATGAGTCAGAATTGACTTGACAGCAGTTGGTAACTGGTTATTGGGAGTAAAGCCCAGCTGGAGAGGCAGGTGCTTTCTGTCCGTGTCAAAGATTTTGTCCATTATTCTAAGAGTGACAGGGAGATAATGAAATTTTTTAAACAGACAAGCGACAGTAAGATTTGTGTTTCAAAAAGATTGCTCTAATGGTGCCCTGCTACCATCACTGAACATTTTGATCAAAGATTCTATAGAAGAATCCTGATCAAAAGGGGGAAAAGGCAGGCAGAATGTCATATTCTCATGAACTCAAGAATTTCTGGAGCCATGGAGGTTGGATGAACCCCTGAAACTATTGCCCTGAGGTAATCTTTAAACCAAAAATATCTCCTGATGTCTTTTTTTTAATGGATATATATATTTTTAATTGTACTTTACATGAAGGTGTATGGAACAAACTAGCTTCTCATTAAACAGTTAGTATGTATATTGTTTTATGACATTTGTTAACAACTCCATGACATGTAAGTACTCTCCCTTCTCGACCTTGGGTTCCCTGTTATCAGCTTTCCTGTCCCCTCCTACCTTCTAGTCCTTGCCCCTGGGCTGGGGTGCCCCTTTAGTCTCGTTTTGTCCTGTGGGTCTGTCTAATCTTTGGCTAAAAGGTGAACCTCTGGAGTGACTTCATTACTCAGTTAAAAGGGTGTCCGGGGGCCACACTCTCAGGATTTCTCCATTCTCTGTCAGGCCAGTAAGACTGGTCTATTTTTGAGTTAGAAATTTGTCCTACATTTTTCACCAGCTCTGTCCCGGACCCTCTATTGTGATCCCTATCAGAGCAGTCAGTGGTGGTAGCTGGCACCATCTAGTTGTACTGGACTTGGGCTGGTGGAGGTCATGGTAGTTGTGGTCTATTAGTCCTTTGGACTAAACTTTACCTTGTGTCTTTAGTTGTCTTCATTTTCCCTTGCTCCTGAAACGGTGAGACCAGTGGAGTATCTTAGATGGTCGCTCACAGACTTTTAAGACCCCAGACGCTAGTCACCAAAGTAGAATGTAGAACATTTTCTTTATAAACTACATTATGCCAATAGAGCTAGATGTTTCCTGAGACCATGGTCCCCACAGACTTCATCCCAGTAGTTTGGTCCCTAAGGGAGTTTGGATTTGACCATGGAGCTTCCATGACCTTACCCTGAACAAGTTGTGCTGGCTTCCCCAGTATTGTGTTCTGTCTTACCCTTCACCAAAGTTACCACTTATCTATTGTCTATTTAGTGTTTTTCTACCCCCACGCCTCCTTGTAACCATCAAAAATTGTTTCCTTTTATGTGTAAACTTTCATGAATTTTTATAATAGTGGTCTCATACAATATTTGTCCGTTTGTGATTGACTTATTTCACTCGGCATAATGTCCTCCAGTTTCATCCATGTTGTGAGATGCTTCACAGATTCAGCATTGTTCTTTATCATTGCATAGTATTCCATTCTGTGTGTGTACCATAGTTTGTTTATCCATTCATCTGTTGATCAGTATCTAGGTTGTTTCCATCTTTTTGCTATTGTGAACAATGCTGCAATGAACATGAGTTTGCATATGTCTATTCATGTAATGGCTCTTATTTCTCTAGGATACAATCCTAGGAATGGGATTGCTGGATCATATGGTATTTCTATTTCTAGCTTTCTAAGGAAGTGCCATATTGTTTTCCAAAGTGGTTGTACCATTTTGCATTCCCACCAGTCTCCCTGCAGCCTCTCCAACATTTGTTATCTTCTGTTTTTTCATTCGTGCCAGTAATGCCAGGGTGAGATGCTATCTCATTGTGGTTTTGATTGGCATTTCTCTAGTGGCTAGTGATCCCGAGCATCTCCTCATGTATCTATTAGCCACTTGAATGTCTTCTTTGGTGAAATGTCTGTTCATTTCCTTTGCCCATTTTTTAATTGGATTATTTGTCTTTTTGTTGTAGAGGTGTTGGATTTTCCTGTAGATTTTAGAGATTAGAGCTCTGTTGAATTTGTCATAGCCAAAAAATTTTTCCCAGTCTGTAGGTTCTCTTTTTACTCTTTTGGTGAAGTCTTTTGATGAGCATAAGTGTTTAATTTTTAGAAGATCCCAGTTATATAGCTTATCTTCTGGAGTTTGTATGTTGTTAGTTATGGTTTGTATCCTGTTAATGCCGTGTATTAGGGTCTCCAGTGTTGATCCTATTTTTTCTTCTATGATCTTTATAGTTTCTGATTTTATATTTAGGTCTTTGTTACATTTTGAATTAGTTTTTGTGTATGGTGTGAGGTATGGGTCCTGTTTCATTTTTTTGCAGATGGACATACAATTTTGCCAGCACCATTTGTTAAAAAGACTGTCTTTTCCCCATTTGATGGACTTTGGGCCCTTGTCAAAGATCAGTGAGCGTAGGTGGATGGACTTACATCTGGGTTCTCAATTCTGTTCTATTGGTTAACGTATCTGTCATCGTACCAGTACCAGGCTGTTTTGACTACCATAGCTGTATAGTGGGTTCTGAGGTCAGGTAGTGCGAGTCCTCATACTTTATTCTTCCTCTTCAGCAGTGCTTTAATTATCTGGGGCCTCTTCCTTTTCCATATAAAGTTAATAACTGTTTTTTCCATCTCTTTAAAGAATGCTGTTGGTATGTGGATCAGGATTGCATTGTATTTGTAGATTGCTTTGGGTAGAATTGTCATTTTCACAATGTTGAGTCTACCTATCCATGAGCATGGTATGTTTTACCATTTATGTAGATCTCTGTTGCTTTTTTACAGTAGTGTTTTGTAGTTTTCTTTGTATAGGTCTTTTACATCCCTGATCAGATTTATTCCTAAGTATTTTATTTTTTTAGGAGCTATTATAAATGGTATTGTTTTCCTGATTTCCTTTTCATCATTCTGTTTGGTGGTGTATAGGAATCCAACTGATTTTTGTATGCTTATCTTGTATCCTGCTACTCTGCTGAATCTTTCTATTAGCTCCAGTAGTTTTCTCATGGAGTCTTCTGGGTTTTCTATATATAGTATCATATAGTCTGCAAATAGGGACAGTTTTACTTCTTCATTACCACTCATTTTGGATGCCCTTTATTTCTTTTTCTTGCCATATTGCTGTAGCTAGGACCTCCAGCACA